ATACCAACCACATGTTATCAATCTAAATATCAATCATTTTAATGACTTTGTAAAATTTTTGAAATATCGTTCTTCTTTTCATTATATGCTAGCTATGTACATTTATATACGTTTTTTTATATCTACTGATCGGCATTGAAAAGGCAGAAGTTTGGATGATGTTTAAAACAAGAAGTTGAACCGTGCCACATTTTCATACGTCAGTTTCAATTAAGGAGCCTCGTCAGTGGTCGTTTATCACGTGTTATATTTTTATATGTTATTTAAATAATTGGTTGCTTATGGCAGAGCTTAGATTGTTTGAGGTAAATATATGCAGACCTTTAACATGTTTAATAGACTCATGTCAATTTAGAGAACGATATATTTGAGAGACACATGAATATTTTAGAAGACGTAACCTCTAGATGACAATCAGTTTTGTTTGCATTTAGTTGCTGTCTGGTCGAAAAATATTTACACCATATCTCTAATTCAAAGTTTTGGATCTGTTCTGAATAAACTATAACGTACGTGTAATGTATTTTATTTTTGAAAATACATGTGTATAATCATCTGATTATATGTATGTGTTTTGCTGAAAAAGAATCGGAAGATGCTAAAAAGGACAACCAAAACTCAAAGAGAGACCAACAAATCCATGGCAAAATACTACTAACGACAAAAAAGACAAATAAAACATTCCATAACAAAGTCATAGACTGAACAAAACAAACCCCTCCAAACACATGAAACACGAATCCTAGTCAGAAACCGATCCTTTTCATCTGAACAGATCTTAAAAGACCGAACAATAAATTATTAAGTCATTTTCATTTTTCAGACAATTTGTAACTTATCAACTGCGGTAAATTCTGTATCGCTTACACTATTTACTTGCAGTCAATTAAGATCTGTTCAGTCTATGTTCAGACATATTTACCTGTACAGATCTACAGTATCAGAAAAGTGACCAAAACAATGCAAAAGACTCAATATGGCATGATTAATTTATTGTTAAAATTTTCATGCAGAGAGTTTGTCACTTTCAAAACATGATTCAACTTCCACTTTCATATATAAATCAATGCAATGGACGCCCCACTGTTAGCATCGTACTGTTGGATTGAAGATGTATGTAATTTGTTAAGATCATCTTGATGGCTTTAGAAAATATTATAAAGAAATTTGTAAGTGATCTAAGGACTTTATAAAAAATCAGTAAAGTATTTTACAAAAAAAATTATGACCCTGTCGTTCTTTTGCATATCTAATTGTTAATAGTTTTCTTTGTTTGTCAGAAGCAATTCATATTTTCGTTTTTTAATTTGGTTCAACGGAAAAAGAGATACAATCAACCAAATCGTTGGAGTTTATACTACCTGGCATACTCCTATATATTGCATTGTTATTAACAGGAATATTACGAGTATGCAAATCAAGATGCATAGAGGAATAAACGATAGATTGCTGAAGTTTGACGTTTCAGAAACTAAACTTTCATTATAATTGGAAAATGATCTCTATTATGTAATACATTATGCAAAACTGACATTTATCTATATCTCAAAATCTGATATGGTGGTGATTGTTTCGATAAAATTCCCAGATCTGCCCATCAAAAAATTAAACAAAAATTCATTAATTTGTAACGCTTGAATCGAGTTTCGTTATTAGACACCTGATTATTTAGATGAAGAATTTATTCCGATTTTTTCCTCATAACAGATGTCAAAAATACATGAATTTTTACAATTAGTTTGAGTTCTGAGTATTCCTCTTCCGGATTTTTTTTTTAATAAAATGCAACTTCAACATGGACAAGATTCATTAATTGTCTGACAGTTGATTTGTCAAACGCAGAAGAAAATGTCTTATATGAACCATTTTATTCGACAGTCCATGTTACATCCTTTGCTATTAAATGACGTTGAGGACAGTTTGTGCCGGAAAATCACAGACACTTTCAGGCAGCATCTATCATGTGACAATTTTACAATGATAAAATACATATGAATTTAGTTTACTTATTGGACTCTTATGGCAATTAAAATGAAACATTCTATTCCAAATTGAAATAAATAAACGCATCATAGATATACTAGGATTAAAATTAAACAATGTATATACTTATATATAATATGTAAATTAATTATACAATTCAAGACTTCAAACTATTTCCTGACTTGAACTGGACCCTAGCTTAGCAACTGCAATATTGTGCTCCAATAACAAGTTCCTGGATCTTAATTTAGAGTCTTGAGTGTACTTTTGACAGGTAATTCAGAAACAACACCAGTTCTGTGCTCCCTTGCATAGGTTTCCTAGGTTGAAATATATATTATACTAGTTATTTATGATCAGGCATTTATAGTCTTAATTTGGCTAAATAGCTCCATACTTATACATCCATGGCTTTGAATGTTTGGGTTTTAGCGTTACTGATGAAGGTAAATTCAGAAAAGTGCTCCGGACGCACTAAATTGATAAAGTGTTATACTATACTTTTTATAACGAGAATGCTAATAGTAAAGACTGTTCCATACGCAACCCATTACACATCTAACTGCATCCAAAAAGAATCTGAAAATTTTTATAACGATTTTGTCATATTTTATGTCATTCATATTCAATTAAAATGTTGATTTTCATCCACCCTGCAAATACAGATCAAATAAAAAATCATGGGTATTATTCTATTCTTATTCAGTATGTCCACAGCAAAAAAACAATAAAAGGAAAGGAACAGCGCCTGTATTGCTGTTCTTCATCTCAAAGTGACAGTGAGGCCGTCAACATTGAGCAAAAAAAACAACAACTCGCACCTCATTTCAAGTTGAGACGACACCTAGCTACGGTAGTATAGTGTAGACATGCACGAGCGTACCGTAATAACTGATATATGTTCACGCCATACGATGGATCAAAGTTTATGTTACTGCTGAGAAATAGAAAGTTGACAATCGGAAAATGAAAAGTATCACGTTTATCATATATTCTAGTTTTAAGTCATTCATCAGTATCAAAATCGAGGACTCGCCAAGATATGAAGCAGACTGACGGTAGTATCCATCATTTCAAATTCACTTGGACATATGAGACGTAATCACTCATTGCAATAAAAGTAACTTAGTGACAGAAAATCATAAAGTAAAATTTAACAATTTTGCAAAATGATTTTTTTGTCTTTGCAAACGTTCTGTATGAGTTCTGCGTCATAAGAGTACAAATAAGTAAGCCAGTAGTTTTTGAACAATTAGTACCCTTAAAAATACCGAGTGTTTACTGAAATATCATACAAACAAATATGTTGTCAGTTATGGCAAATGACGATACGTCCACAAGCAGTTCCATGTGGTTATAATAACTGATCACAGATACAAGGGGAATAAATGGGTACCCTAGACGCGCGTATGGTTTCCGTAAGACTAACCTGTAGCGCTCGAATCAAAAGAGTTGAGAGGCCAAATCAACAACAAAGTCAACAGCAATGAAAAAAAAACATACCGAAAAGTTGTCCCAAATACGGCTAAAACTAGATATATATGCCCTGCAAAAATACATTAATGGTTCGAACAATTAGTGTTTTTGTCACAGTATTTTTACAGAAAAGGAAAATGATATTTAAGTCAACACAGAAGTTCTGAATACTGAGTAGTTGATACCATCGAGGACGAGGTTTCAGCCAGCAGTGCCACCGACTAGTAGTTGTTAAAACTGATCAAAGATAATTAGGTACGCGTCTTGCGCTATTAATTTCCTTCAAACTCATCCATAGCGCTCAAATCAGTTTGAATATCAAATACGAAGTTGTACAGCATAAAAATTGAAAATAAAAGGTGAATGTTTTCCCTAATACGGTAAAACATATCTTTTCCTGGGAAGGGAAACTCTGTATTTTGAATAGTTCAATAGTTAACATACGGTAAATTTACAGAAAATGAACCGATCAATGATAGTTCAAGACAACTCAGTGTTGACTACTGGGCATGTGGTACCATCGGAGATGACACGTCCAACTAGAAGGAGCATTGGATGAATAGTTAATAAAAACAAATACGAGGCCTGTCATTCTTCTTTCTAAGACTCATATATGGGCAATGAGACCAATGAAAGTAATCATGTACAGTATAAACTGAATCATATTTGGACAATATTTGTCCCCTCATATATGTTAATATCAATTTACAAATTATAAGATGTGGTATAATTGCCATTGAGACAACTCATCACCAGAGACCAAATGACATAGAAGTGAACAACTACAGGTCACCGTACGGCCTTCAACAATGAGCAAAATCATAATGCATAGTCAGCTATCAAAGGCCACGCAATGACAAATGTAAGACAATTCTAACGTTAATCTAACATGTATGTACAAAAAATGAACAAAAAACAAATATAATATACAGCAACAAACGACAACTACTGAATTACAGGGTCCTGACTTGTGACAGGCAAATACAAAACATGGCGGGGTTAAACTAGTTGCTTGCGCCAAATCCTCCCCCTAACCTGGGACAGTGGTGTAACAGTAAAACATAAGAACAATCGATGTCTGTTTTTCTAGTACCCGTGTGATTACGGATATAAAGTACAAATCCATGTTATTCCTAGTATTTACAAATTTAAAGTACCTACTTTTTAAGTATAAAATTTGAAAAGCATTCGTGCGAACCTGTTGGGGATTCTAGCGATTCTTGGAATCCTAATCTGCAAGTCTCCTCTGAAGACAAAATTGTAATGCGTAGAGTACTTGGGCAATTGCAAACTTTATAAGTTTTATATCATATCGACTGATGATTTAGGTTTTGCAACAATTAAAGACAAAATCTGTACATAAAATATATATATAAACATATGTTTTTTTTTCACAGAATTTTTTCACAATGCGCTCTTAGAATTCACTTCCTTCTTTCAAAAGGTTAATCTTTATATTGCGTGACAAATATATGAAATTTGATTCCCAAAACTAAAACAATATTTTTTTTTATATATACATTCAAAATCACACTCTAGAATATCTCTTTATTCAGTGGTCATCTGTCAACTGGTAAGTAAAGCTTTTTTTACTCTTTCAATTTTCTTTGTTTATTTCTTCATTTTGTCATTAGTTTCGTTTTAAAAATGTTTTTCTAACATTTCCTTGAAAGAAAATTTGTATTGATGGTTAGGGTTAAGGTTAGCTTTCCTAAAATGGCATGTAAGTTAATGTAGGCATTATGCGACTCTCGACTTCTGCAACCGACGTCCTTAATCAAATCACATGGTCATCTTTCCTGAAACTAGATGGTTAAGTTTTTTTTTAACTTTGTATGATTGATGTATGCGAATTTCCTAACTAAACTCGTCTTACTTGATCTCGACCAAAAGGGGAAAACGGCAGCCAGAGTTATCTTTATTCTGGTCGACTAATTTCTAAAAAGAATTTTCTCTTCTGAGGCTACGATCTGAATATTTTTTCCAAGATTTAATATTGGGAAGCCATTAAAAACATTTCACTTTCAATATAAACCGGGGGCATGTATCGGGTCATTGTTGGCACACAGTTACCAATGACATATTGGCGATCCTTATTTAGTTATGATAGGAGGAACATGTGCCTGAATCAAGCAATCTTTAATTCTAATTAGACAATTATAATACATGTTATCCACTCATTTTTTAAAACTTTACAATATTAATCATTGAAGGTTCTTCTAGAATAGATTATCGCTTAATTTTGATCAGGTAGTTAACATAGTGGTAATGATTGCTCACGTGTACATAGGAACCTATGACATATCCTGTTATTGTTTTTTTTTTAAATATGCTATAAATGTAAATCCAAAAAACTTCAAAGCAATAATCGTGTTAATATACGAAAAATTGTCAACAAGCAATCTATATAAAATTCCGAGTTGTGATAAATCATTGACCTCATGATCAGACGTCGCCCAAAATATGTGTTTGCTTCTGAATAGCTTATAGATAAACACAAAATAAACTTACCGTTTAATTCCTTTTTGGCAACGGTTATGGTCTATATAATTTTTAAGCATGTACAAGTCAACTAGTCGAGATTTTGCATAATTCCGCCATTTTACTGAATTAACTGTAATTTCATGGATATATAACTCATAAAAAAGAGTATTTTATATTTGTTTTTTATTTTTTATCAATTTTATTGCAAATTTTAACATTTGTTAGATGAATATAGAACAAACCGGTACCTAATCCCAGCCTTGTTATAATAACATAGAACAAGATATTACTTGTAAGTAATCTAAATTTTGAAATATACCATGTATACATAACTTCATTATTATGTATCAATAACTTCCTTTGTAACGTGCAATAAAGACCGATCTATATTTTGGAGAGAAAAGCAAAGAAATAGATTGTTTGCGACAGTAAACATGTATATACATATATTCCCAGGGAAAACTGTCTAAGATATAGCATTCAATACACCTGCCAAGATACTTTTGTTTTGTAAAATTTATACAAGCATAAACAAATTAATAAAGCATACATATGGCTATAAACATAAAGCACGAACAAAATAATAACAGAAAAAGCATTTAACGATATAACATACATGTATACGGTGGTGTGGATAATGCTAAACTATACATACTCAGGTTAAGTAAGTTAATGGTATAACATGTATAAGTTTCTTTAGTATAACGGAAGCCTGGGGTCCTAACAGAGATTGGAGATTGAAAAAGCTGAATTTAATAAAACACATCTTCCTAGTTTGAGATTTTCTCTGATATAATTTTTTGGTTCTATAAAATTTACTTAATTATCACATAGTTCTGTTCTATTAAAAGTAATTTGTTCAACCATTTTTTAACTTTTTTGATTTTCTTATTTGCTGTTTTTCATAAATATCCAAATAAATGATATGAATGTTTATTGGAATTACTTTTTGTGTTTGGTTAGAAATTCAATCACAGAGATTATGCAAATGTTTTCTATTTTATGGTATGTCCATAATATATGCCCAATATCTTCTATAGCGTCACTGCAAAAGTACATATATGATTTTTAAGTGTTCAAGATTCTGTGTATTATTCTATACTGGAACCAATGAAGTTTTGAACTTTTCGTGTAGTAAAATAGCATAGTGCGCACATTTTCCAATCATAATTTTCATTCCATTTTAAGGATCATTTGTTTTCAAAATTATCTTTCGTACTCTTTTTTTTCTAATAAAACATCATACAAATCTTGTGGGCAATTTTTCGAAATGTTCGATACAAAAAAAAAAGTTTTTTGAAAGAATTGGTGACTATGTTGTCTGTAGACATATTATCATTGTGAGTTTCATCATATAATAATTTAAATTTCTTCTATGCTGACATTATCATTTAAAAACTCCATTTCACGCAGATTGACTGAAAAGTGTACTTTCCACACATTGCGTCTTGACTATATTTTGTATTTATTTTGAATATATGTTTAACTTCAACAGCATTATTTTTTTTTAAAGTGCATAACTCAACATTTAATTCTAGAAAGTTTAAAATATATATAAGGGTCCACTTGGCTCCAAATCGCCCCTTTTCCTTTGCGTGTTCAATTCTGTTACAACATATTTGTGTAAAGATGACAGGGTACAATTTTCTTGACCATAGATATATTTGGCTATTCTGCTTAGTTCCCTGTTGTTCATTTATCTCTATACCATTGTACTTATTTATACGTCCTTTGCCTTCAAATTTCCATGTTTGAGCGTTCCGGGTAGAGGTTAAGCGAGAAAAGCGCTTCGGACGCACACAATGTATTGAGTAATATTTGTACTTACATGTATTTTCTGTAGTAGTCACACAAATGTATCTGTCTTCTTTATTGATAACTAATCGTCAAAGAACGACTCATCAATGGATTTTTACTGTTTAATATTACTGTCCGAGTTCGTACCTGTTTTCAAAGCTTGGACCAGGTTATTCCTATTGTTTTTTTTTTAAGTCTTTCGACAAGTGATGTTATAGTTCATTCGTGATAAAGAATATGCACATTTATCTTAACTTTAACGTTTAGTCATGCATTAAGGGCATATGTCGCTTCATCTTAGGATTAAATTTCGGGATTCCTATTTCTATCAATATACTTTGACCTTGTATGTATATATTATATACTTTGTATCGTACACTGAAAACTTTTAAACTGTATCGGATGTACATTTAAAATACATAGACCGGAAGTAGATATTTCCTTATTTTGCAGAAGGGTTGATATCTAAACATACCAAAAAATAATGAAATGTTGTTTAAGCAGCTTTCAAATTTCATAGAAGAAATTGTTAAAATTAATTGTACAGTGCATGCAGTGTCATAAATCTAGCTTTCTCATTCTTCATTATATAGTGCGTTTCTATTTTCGTTGCTAGTCAAGTGATATAAACCTTAGTGACATTAAAACAATATCATATAACAATTCGTTGATCATTATCATACAAACATATTTCCTTAAACATTTTAACCTCATTTTTTTTCCTAAATTATATGCGTAAAGCATGCAAGAATTTGCTGAACATCTTATGTTATAACAACTTACGACTATTAACGTCATAATTCAATAGCATACAACTCTAAAATGGATCTCATTTGTGATTGGTCTATTTGAATTTGAATTAATATATGAATCGAAACGCCGTTGAATTTACAATTAGTCTAGATTAATTAATTAAGACAAATATCTTTGGATCGAATGCCTACGATATTCCTTTTTAGCTATCTTATTTCTGGTGAATATTTATAGCAATTAATTATTATCCATAACTAGAAGACACCCGCAACACCGCAGGTACCTATGCTTTATTTTAACCTGGATGTTTAGTATTCGTATTATCATCTGATAATGTCATGCTGATTGTAATGTGCAGTTTTCTCTGCTTTCAAATCTTTCTGTTTAAACCCGTCCTATTCTTCTTACTACAATAAACTTACTATCAACTAAATTCAATTGTTTTACTTATCAATAAAATTTAATAGTGGTATTGAGGTGGAAGGAAACATACTTGTTAAATAGTATATTTTAGTGTAACATAGATATAAAACAACTACTGGAAGAATTCCAGGTTCTCCTGATAGAGGAGGGATTTACAGAAGGTAACAGGTGACATATACTATCGGTATCGGTATCGGATTCGACCCGGAACTTGTTAATTATTGGTAACATCAACTATGTGGGAAAAAAAGGACTGGAATGGTGAATTTTTTAAACAACACCATTGTCCTATATAAGTTATATATAAAGTTGGATTCTTTGATTCGTCGTTTTAACGCCATGCCGGCTAACAAATCGGACCTCGTTATTTTAGTAGTATAGATTCTGATGTCCATCACTATATTAAAAATTCTGTTTAAAACCTAGGACACTTCAATGACAATAATTAACTTCAATTAGTAATAGTTTACGTTAAAGAATATGCGGGGTAAGGGAGAGAACTCTTTATGTCATTTAACATTGCTAAATATACTATAACTACCTTAGAATACGGCATGATTTTACAGTAGTCAATTTTTAAAGCTGTCAGTTCTTCTTGTAAATATGTACCTCATGTAACACACAATCGACAATTCCTTATCTGAAACTACTAGAAAATTGATTCCTTTAAACAAATATCGAATACATTAAGTTTGTTTCCATTTCAGAAACACTTGACATGTATTTTTTTATTTTTCTTTTGCAGTCAACAATATTTATAATGACTACAAGTTTTTATTCAGTTTTTCTTCGACTCATGATTTGAGATTTTGAGATCACTTGGTTCTTCCTTTTTTTAAGCAAAGGAAATGATAACGAGTTTGTTCAAAGTTCAGTGATTTAATTAATTCACAAAGGAGTTTGTTCAAAGTTCAGTGATTTAATTAATTCACAAAGGTACTTTAAAAACAGGTGCAATATATATGTGTGTTTGCGTATTTTATATCCTTTATCCGAAAATGAAAGAAAAATCTTCATGTTCGAATTACATTGTCTGTACTCTTTTCTTTCAGTACAAAAAGAAAATGATGTTGATATTAAATATCATTTTGCTTCTGCTCATATCTGTGGAAGTGATTGGTCTTCCATGTTTAACCAACGAATCCAAAGAAGATTTCGATAAATCCAGAAAAGCCCTAACAGTGGTGCAAAGCGATATCGGAAAAGTTGTCAATACATTGGAGAGTAACCACCAACATACTATTACCGCTTTAGAGTCAGCTCTTAAGAAAACTGTCTCTATTATGGAAAATAATGTTAAACAGACTACTGGTGTTCTGAAGAACAACCTCGGAACATTTAAAACTACACTGAACAACATGGGTGAGAAGATAAAGAAACTTGATACAGATTTCAAAGTGTTGGGAAAAGATTTTCGAAGTAAGTTCAGTAGTATACAATATGGTGTTTGAAACTGCATAGTTTCTTATATTTATCTATGTAGCAACTTACTATAAAATACGACAGTTAAACATGTTAAATAGTCATTACACTTCCATTCATGTTACTAATTTTCCGTTCCTACAATGTAGACGGTTATGTACAATAGGCTTTTTGTTAAGGAGAGGACATGTTCAAGTTGTTTAGATAATATGCTCGTGTTTGCAATAACGTCTCTAATTTTAATGATGAGAATAGTTTCATGACTTTAAAAGTTTTCTAAATCATATTAAAGATATACAACATATTATTCATTTACGGCAATTAAATAAAAAGGTTGCATTTATCACCCAGTCTATCAAGGAAATATCAGTAACTTAATATTTTTGATGTTTTCCTACAAGTCTTTCATTTATACTAAATGAACTGATTTTGAAGGCAGAACGTAACCTATGGTTGCTAACTTCTACGTCATTTAGTCCCTAGTTAAGATTTATCGCATTGGGAATCATACCACATCTTCTTATTTTCAAACTATTGTAGTTGTCTTGAACTTTGAAATTATATAAACTTCATTGTTCGTTTTTCTATTCTAAACAATTATCATTTGATTCAATATTTTTTCGGAAAAGACTTGAACTGTATGTGTTTGTTGTCCCACTGATCATGCTGATAGTGATTAAAAATGATGAGTTAAGTGATCCCATGTGCGCAAACATCTAGTTTATTACGTCATTGGATCGTGGTATGTCCTAATTCAGGACCCCGATCAGAGGTTATCGAAATTATATCTTAAATGTTTTTGTCAGTAAGAGAGTTTTGTGTTGAAGGCAGATCACTGTTACACTTATTTGCGCCTTTTATAGGCTTGGAAGTGATTTTGATGTGGATATTTTGTATATTTTATAAATACTTTTCTGTTGAAAGCTGTAGCCATTACCATTTGATGTCCTGTTTACAGTTTTTTTTTTATTTTCTCCATTAAGTTAAAAAGATGTGTTTTTTTATACAGTACCATCACTATCTTCAAAGTGAACTTAGTCGTCTCAGTCTTTGTTTGATTAACTGTAATTCTTTCTGTTGTTTTTAAATTGTTGTTGTTATATTTATCATTATTATTAGAAACAAAATGGATCAAATATGACGGACATTGTTACTACTACAGTACTGAATCTACAGATTGGTTTACATCAGAGGTAAACAAGATTTCAAATAAATAGATGTATTGACTCCTAACCTTTAGATTGCCATATAAAAATTCGCATCTGTATAATTAAAGCAAGATGCAAGGAGACAGCAACCAAACACACACAATTCAAAAGATTTAAATATCACCAAATGGTCTTGAAAAAATATCGAGGTGTCAATATCATTACGCTTTTGAACGGCCTAGCCAAGACAAATGTTTCTCCCAAAAATAGATTTGGAATGACATACAATTTCATAACGGATTAACATAAAACAAAACTATAGACAACTGCTGTCCAGGTTTCTAAAATGGCAGACACGATCAATGTAGATATGTCGCCAGATTAAAATATTCTTTTACTTATGCATCCCGCCAATGTCTGGTTGTGCTGTGGTCATTTTTTTATATTCTTGTCTTTCATTATTGCTTATGTGCTTTGTCTATATGCTATTTTGTTTGTCTTTGATGACATATTTGTTTGTTTTTATAGTGATTAAGATTATAACACGATGTTGACTGTTGTACCCCTATTTTGACATTTTTGCCTATTATGTCTGTTTGTTTTGTTCACACATTGTTGTCAATATAATGGAATTTTATGAAACTGTCATACAAGTGAGAGGTTTAGCTAGCTATAAAAACATAAGGAAATGCTTGTACCAAATCAGGAATATGACAGTTGTTTTCCATTCGTTTGATGTGTTTGAGCTTTTGATTTTGCCATTTGATAAGGGACTTTCCGATTTGAGTTTTCCTTGGAGTTCGGTACTTTTTTATTTTACTTTTTATGCACCAAATCCCTTTTTGTTCTGGATCATCGGAATAAACAATTGTAATAAAATGTAAGTAAATTTAAATGTACGATCTACATTTCGTATTGTTATAGTTTTGTTTTCTGACGACGTTGTAATGTTTTACAGCAATTTTGCCCTGGTGTTGACTTTATTTGACATAATATTCTTTTTAAATTATTGTTGCCCATCTAATTATAAATGCAATGTGACGGCATTAGTAAAAGTAATTTTACTTATTTTTAAAAATGTGCAGAGAAAATGTAGAGAAATTGGAGGATACCTAGTAAAAACCGACAACGAGGAGGAAAAGAAAAACCTGTATTCAAATTATAACAAAAGTAAGTGTGATAATTTAGTTGTTGAACACAAACAATCTTTATGATAAACATTTTGATTTACTTTTGTATTAAATTGACTTCTTTTGTTCGTTCTCATCGTCATATAAATTGCAAAATATATCTAAAAGAAATGATACGAAAATTATTGGCCATAATTAACAATTAAAATTAAGAGGAATGTTAAATTGGATGTAAATTTAGCTTAATCACAGTACTAAGTTGCTATTATTGGGAAACAATGCAGAAACAAACATGGAGCTGGCTTGTCAGTTACTGCTAGTAGTCTGTTGTTATTTATGTATTATTGTCATTTTGTTTATTTTCTTTTGTTTTCTATTCTGACATCGGACTCGGACTTCTCTTATACTGAGTTTTACTGTGCGTACTGTTGTGCGGTTGTTTTTCTACATTGGTTAGAGGTATAGGGGGAGGGTTGAGATCTCGAAAAACATGTTTAACCCCGCCGCGTATTTGTGCCTGTCCCAAGTCTGGAGTCTCTGGCCTTTGTTAGTCTTGTATCATTTTTAATTTTAGTTTCCTGAACTAGTATACATATTTGTTTGGGGGCCAGCTGAAGGACGCCTCCGGGTGCGGGAGTTTCTCGCTGCATTGAAGACCCATTGGTGGCCTTCGACTGTTGTCTGCTCAATGGTCGGGTTGTTGTCTCTTTGACACATTCCCCATTTCCATTCTCAATTTTATGTACAGTCGATACCTTGCATATTAACAATGTCTTGTTGTCTCATAGGCTATTATTACTGGATTGGTTTGACCGACCTCAAGGAAGGAGAGTTTCGTTGGACATATGACCAGAGTAAAGCTGTGGTTAAAGATTGGTATCCAGGTTATGGTTCGAAAGGAACAACTCATAACTGTGTGGCAGTTTGTAAACATGATAATAAATCAAAACCGTTCGACTACCCCTGCTCTTCTTCGCATCGATACATCTGTGAAAGTAACTTCTGTAAGTAAACTTGAGTATAATTTTACAATACTATCCGTTAAAAAGTAGTTTACTTTATCTGGTACATTCCATTGTTTGTTAGGCGTTTCGATCTGATAATATTAAAAACAAATTACATGAACTGAAGTTGAACAAATTTAAGACAAGGTAAATAGTAAATGTCCATCTATTTTTTCATTTCAAATTGATCATTTATTTTAATTTGTGATTTAAAATTATTCTGGAAGGACTCTTAATGGTAATATCGATATTTTTTACAAGATCTATACGAATGACCGACAGAAGAAATGGGTAAGAAGAGGGCTTGCACATTTATAAAAAGCAAGAAATTTGTCTCGATCCTTCAAAAATATTTGTTTACGCAAAACTATAAGAGTAGACAAAATGGAAGTCAGGATCCTGAATTTCAGTGGTTGTCGTTTGTTGCTGTATATCATATTTGTTTTTCGGTTTTTATTTCATACATAAATAAGGCCGACAGTTTTCTCGTTTGAATTGTTTTATATTTGTCATTGAGAGGCCTTTTATAGCTTACTATGCGGTATGGGTTTGGCTCATTGTTGAAGGCTGCACGGTGACCTATGGTTTTTAACTTCTATGTCATTTGGTCTCTGGTGAAGAGTGGTCTCATTGGCAATCATACCACATCTTTTTAAATATACATGTATATTGAAAAAGATATGATTTCGATTTCATACAAAAAACAAAAATGTTGGCCGTAAATTAGGGCATGGGGCTAAAACCTTGTTCAAATAACTTTGACATTCCTGTTTTCCTCTTTTTTGCCTGCATAATCATTGTGCTTTATTGTTATGAGAACACAAAATATTATAATGTGTATGTGTAGTAAACAATTTTGAAAGCATAGTAAACATAAAATAATGGCACAATTTGCTTTTTTCATTTATATATTTCTTTTTTTAGGTTTCTGAGACTATTGTCCCGCTGAAGAGTTTTTGATGATAAGAAAAAAAAACTTCTTTTCTTTAATAAATTATCTTTTCAAATTATTTCATATGTTTTCATTTGCCTAGTTTTTGTAATAATTTTGTGAGGTTTTACAATGAATACTTGATCGTTTTTCAGGTTTCCAAACATTTCAAGCCACAAACATGTATCTATTTTTGTATAAACATTTAAATTCAATGCAGTCCTTACGCATGTTAAGTGAAGCTTTGTATTCATAGATTCTACCACCAAAAAAATGTATTCATTGGATATAGTTTTAAAAAAGGAAAATACCGTAATGTATACTCAAAAAAAGAAATAGTATAAATATTCTTAAATGAATACAGAAAGAAATTTAAAAAAAACTATATAAAACCATGCATTATGTAAAAATGTAAATGCAAACTGTTTTTAAATTATCATACCAAACTCGCAGTTGATAGTCAATATCGGTATACACTAACAGTTTCACAAATATGTTTTAATAACTAACAACGTATCATTATGCAGTCATACAAGTGTTGAGTTCTAACAAAATAGAAAAAAAAAGTACGATATACAATTCCGAAAATTAAGAACACTTAATATGTTTAACGAAAAACCGAAAAAGAGTGTCAATTTGAAATGGGGAAAATCTTTGTTCAGGTGTGCACAGTCAAGTTAGACAAAATGCTTCACTAATTCGGATCTTTATGCATGTTTGTATGGCTTGTTATTTTCGAACATGTCGGAGGAACACGGTTGGTTACTCGTATGATACATATCTAACATATTGGAAAAAAAAACATAATTCTATTACTGCTGATTCTATGAAATAACTCTACTGCTGAAATAAATCGGCAAAAAAATATGTGAGGCACTGCTCGCCATTTAAAATGTCTTTTAATGTTGCGTGTACCTTGCTACAAGCATATAAATCAGTTAATCATGTATTAATATTGCTTCAAGCCCTACACCAACTTGTTAAAATAACGTAGGAAAACACTTAGTAGTCAACCATCATCTGTATCTGTATCTGTCTAACTTCTGCCAATAAAGGCACACCTCCACTAGTTGGGATAATGGAATTCCTAATCCTCCACCAATAATCTATTTAATTTGTACATCTAATATTAAACAAAAAATCTTTTCTCCAATCCTCCACCAATAAAAGGTAAAAGTGTATATACAACACACTGTATCCACTAGAATAATGTCTCTTTAGTGGGATATAGTTATTTACACTTTAACCTTCAGCAGGGATATAATTTTAAGTGTAGCGAGAGAAAAAATACAAAAAAAACAGTCTTATATTTACAAACTGTGACTTGGATGGAGAGTTGTCTCATTGGCACTCATACCACATCTTCTTATATCTATTATATAACTAATAAGTATACCGTAAAATCTAAAAGTATACAAGCATGGGATTCTGGGCGATACCAAGATGCAAACATTCTACTTTGAAAGCTTTCTAATAGTTCTAGATTTGGTTGGAATATCTAAAAGCTGGTATCTTTTAGCATGAAGCTTGTAGCATAAGCATCTACAAAGAGGTTCTAGCAGGTGATCAATGTCTGATATTAGATCCTTAGTTCAACTATGAGCAATACTAATATGGGTTGATTAAAACTGTAAGCAAACCAAAGTTAGTGTTAAGCTCATATTTTGCAAAAAGCACACTGCACACTTCAATAATTTCAAGAGTTAGTGGCATTCGTATAGTGTCCAACTCGGTACACACAAGAAGAAAATGACTTAGAGTTTCATCACTTTTTCCGCATAACATGCAGGTTGGATCAGGATTAGTGTTGTTGAATACGGCTCTTTTGGTTTGCAGTATAAAGCTTCCAGTTAGGATCTTCAAACGGATTGAGATTCTTGAGATTTCTCGGTGTTCGCAGAGCAGGTAGTTGCGGTTGGGTGACATTTTCCTATGCGATACATTCCACCAAGGTATTGATCTGTTGACGAAAGATAAAACATATGTACATGATGTAATAAGAAAGATAATTATTCAAGACAGACTATGATTGAAAGAACCAGACGAAAATACATACCAAATTCATTAAGGCCCTACTTATTTGACACAGGAAACTGATTGGTTACGAGCAAAAATATAACCCCCAAAAAAGCAAAGGTTTATTTCGACGCTTCAGATGAATAAGTAATTTCTGATACGATAGTGAATTCCTTCGTTTTACTCGTTAGTACAATTTTTGAAATAAAAAGCCAGAAAAAATTTGTGGCTACACCAAATCAGGGAAATAAATTCTCTGTCTCGGCAAGCCAAGTCAAGAATGCTGGCATTTATGCAACTTTTTAAAACAGATAATTTCATCATTAAAAACCTTTGGTTCCTGATGTTACTGTGAAAAGCAATTATCTATCAACAAACTCCTGAAACGTATGTCAACATTTTCATATTTTAATCGAAACTGAATACAAACAATTAAACAATAAAAATATGTTCAATGTATTTTCAGTCAAGGTAAGAACACCCGTACTGCATCGGATAAATAATCGGAGAAGCATATTTTTTTAAGGAAAACTGCAATGAAAATGTTCAATGGTCAATGACAGCTGACTATGGTTATATATTGAAACGCCAAAGCACAAGAAACGTATTTTTGTAATAAAACGTTTTTCTGCCTTCTAAAAAGAAAAATGTTTGTAACTCTTTATTGTAAATATTCTTTTCATAGAATAGTGAAAATATTAACATGCGGTTTAAATAGATCCGCGATAAAAACAATATTTAGTATATATACATATGTATTTGAAATAAAGGAGATGATTTGCTTCTGTAAGATTAAGAAAAGTCACTTACGGTGTCATGACAAATAACATGAAACCAATTCGAAGCATATATTGTTTCTGTGTTCATTTACTTTAAATCCGGGGAATAATATGCTTTTTTCCGGTTTCAACAGGGTTCTGCAGATGTCAAAGAATATTACATTGATACCAAAAAATTATGGTTTGTATGTACTTTTGTCTGAAATACGTGTGGTAATTTGCTACTCCCGGATTGCAAATTTTCATTCTAAATTTCTTACAATGGTTGGTTACTTTAAAACTATTAACAAAATTGAGGGTTTCTTTGTAGTTTTGCAAGAAATGAGAGCTAAATTACACAGTTGCATTGCCGTGATCTGTAAGTGTTTGAGTGTTGGTAGCTTTACGTCCAGTGGCAAATATTTCATGCATGTTCAAGACAAGAGCAAATTAACAATAAGTACAATAGGTCGGTCCTATAATAGAGGACGTCCAGGATGGTGGTTGGGAAAATTGATACTGTCACTGGAAAATAAGGGTATATTAGAGAGGCCACCTACGGACCCCTAAAACAGTTGTAACAAGGGTTCTTAACGTGTAAAGAGCGTGGCATCGGATTTAACGTCCCCATTATGACCGGACGTAGCGACGCACAGATAAAAAGACGCCCCACTTTCATTCATAGACTTTGGCAAGGGTTTTACTGCTGTTGGAAGAAGATCTGTAGTGACCATATTTCTATTTCCCTTGGGGTTTTTGTTCTATAAGAATCTCGGATATTTCGCCTCTAATCCCGTTCATTCTGAAGTGTCACTTCTCCACGAATCCTTTTTTTTTGCGATGAATGCAAACACACGTAATAGTACTTAAAGGATTTCAACCGTGAACACATCGTTACATTCAGTCAGAACAAGGATTATTGGTGTAAATGTAATCTACGTCATGCTAAATATTATTTTTTTTACATTTGGTGTTGCAAAAAATCTCATATTAGTTTGAATAAATAACTTCAATCTAACCAACACCTTCCAGAATTCCCGGATTCAGAATCTGATACATTGTGATGAATAATAATCAAAACGACTTAATATCAAACCTTTGCACTACAACCTGATTCAAACTAAAGCTAATAGAGGAAAACATAATATACGGTTAGGTCATATTTATGCCAAACATGTCCAGTCACTAGAACTCCGTATATGCACGTTCGATAAACAGCAATATCAATAATTATTGTATTGTGGTCAATTTTGTTAACTACAACTATATAGTTCTTCCCCCTACTGTATTTATTAAACGTGCATATAATTCCTTCACAACAGCCTCAATACGAAACATCAGGAAAATAATTCGCATATAAGAAGATCTTGGTGTAAACGCAAAGTTCGCATGTAAAGCAAAACTGAAAAAAATAAAAGTACTGAAAAAATATAGTACATTTTGATATCGAAGGCAATAAAATTAGTCTGCTTCAATTACTTTTCGTGTACTTGTTGTAAAAATAATATTCCCCGATGATGATGTGCATGAAGTTTATTCTTGGTTTTGCACAAGAAAACTTCAACATAACTGATTGGCAGGTCAATGTTCATTTATTTTCATTTACTATGTTGACCTTTCTTTAAAATCTTTAAAATGTGTAATTTTTGCGCTTTCGTATTACTTGTTTCCAATTAAGCATCTCTATTTCTTAATATTACATAAAATTATTTCAAAGTGTAGTTTGTCTGGTGTATGTAACGTTTATTTGTAAAACTTTTGTGAATAATTGGTGCTGTTTACTTGTTGTCGATATGCAAATATCAAGATGTTTCGTGGGATACGAAGTTGTTTAAAAAATAAAATAAAAAATGCTTTAGATAAGCAAATTCTTTAAGCTTTGTTTGAATAATACAGTTAAAAGATAGCAATTCATATAAATTATTTAGAATTGTAAGAGTTCTGACTTGATAATTTTAGGTTATGTGTTCATTTAAAACTTCAATTAGCAGTGAGAGCAAATACTTATTATTTAATAGTTTTACAATGTAAAATTTCCTGTTGGAATTTTTTTAAGTATTCAAACCTCTTTGATGTAAAACTGATTGAAAATAAGTTTCCCTCATCAAGATATAATACGCAGTCATTAGAAAATGATCAAAAAGTTTGAGGCACGCTTACACTGATTGAAGCCCAAGCTGGAACGTAAGCCATAAAACATATATACTCTTGGGAACATTTTTCACTCATTTAGGGTTGAGAGTCTCAGATGATTGTACACATGCATTTTGTTTAATGAACACTGACTGTTTTATGTTTGTATATT